CGCTCTGTTGTTGTCAAACCAGACATGAGTCTAGAGGATGCAGTTAAACAGGTATAAATGTTAACTGTATTATTATTGTTTTGGCTACTGTATTCTGCTGCTGTGGTGTCTGGTTTTTGGCAGCAAACTTGAAAAATTTTGCAAGAGGACAAATAAAAAGAAAGAAAGGTGGAAAAACTACCAGAACTCTCAGTAAATAGGTGGGGTACTTAAAATTTTTCCACAGCTTTATATCCAGAGGCTGTCAGAAAACTTTGAAGTGCAAGCTCTATATTTAGAGGGGCTGGATAGCTGATTTACCATGTGCTACATAGGAATCAGAAAAGAAAACTAGCAGGGGTACACAGCCCAAACACAAAGTACATGGTGATTTTCACTAGTTGCTTATTATTTTTTGCACCGATGTACGTCAACAGTTATTTGATACTCTCACTAGATTTTGTTCATCAAGTGATATAAGATGTGTTAAATTTAATGTTTAAGAATAAACACTAGCGAGAAAAACACACAACGTTTCGATGACTCCATGTCATCATTCTCAAGTGAGAAGAGAATAAAAATGAATAGTTAATTTATACCGTACGAAGGTGGCAAACGTAAAAAGTTTAAAATATTTAAAATATACCGTACGAAGGTGGCTAATTTATATAGTTATCTATAATTTATATATAATTTATTATAATGTGACAACTAAATTTTAATGATTTGTTACTTGAAATGGTCCAACTTATGTTTTGCTAACCTATATTGTGTTAACCCTATTAGGGTCCATATGATGCTGTTATTCTGCCTGGAGGACTAGGAGGATCTAACAATCTGGCTAAAGTACACATACATTCATTTCTTTAGCATTACATAATCATACAGAATGATCAAACAGTAGTTATCTCAGTTATGTTTTTCATTATCACTTGATATGGGGGGTGATATGGGAGGGATAGCAGTCAAAGCATTGTGACAGACTGATACTGGTAATTAAATGTTATATTATATAGTCCTTACATTTGAGAGAACATTAGGGTCATTCCTTGCATCAGGAGTGTAGTATGTTGCAATACAAATATCTCTGAACATTTCATTGAAAAACAATTAATTGGACTATTTGTGGACCACACCATGGCAAAAGTAACAGAACTTATATTTTAATTTATACATTGAGTATTTGAAAAAGCAGCAACAGGTGTGTACATGTTTTTGATTTTGGAGGTTGTCCTGTTAAGAAGGAAAACTAAATATGATTACCAAATTTCCTCGAATAAGTGCAAATAAGTGCCCTCTCCCAAATGAGTGCCTAAGGCGATAATTTCAAACAAGCACCCCCTCAAATAACTGCCCCTCCCCCTCCTCCCTTACTTGTTGAAATAGTAGGGATATAAGGAAAACTTGTTTCTATTCCTACCTAATTCATAACTATTTAAACCTTGATAAAAGCAGAATTAGTACAGGAGAATCGTTTCTTTTCTGTTCAAGTTACTTCTATCCCTATGAGATGTTCTTGCAGAGTTCCTTTATGAGTGTCCTATTGCTGCATCAATTTAATACCCCCCCCCCACTTGATTTAGGCCCTCCTTCCAATAAGCACCCAGTCCACTCCCTAAGCTCTCTCTCCTAAATTTGTAAATGAGTGCCTGTTTACTTAAACAAAAGAATATGGTATTTTCACCAGTTTGGTGTTTGGTTGGTCTAGAAAAAATAAGCATCAAAATACTTTCAATTTGTTCCATATTAATTGACTATATTAAACAGCACTTGTCTAGCTTAGAGGGAATAATCCCCTTCTTCAGTGCTGCACACATACACTGTATCTATTAGGTAATGATGATCTTGTTTGTTAGTCTGCTAAAGTGAAAGAAATTCTTCAAGAGCAGGAACAAAGTGGAAGAATTATCGGAGCCATATGTGCAGGTAATTTTTCTCCAAGCAATTTACAGCATAGTCATAAACATGCACAAAGGTGTCTTACTACCTCAAAAATATTTAAATCCAAAAATCTATAAGAAGTGTTATTTAGAAAGTCCAGAAAAATTAAAGTGCACCTAAACCTCCCAATTTTTTTCGCTTAATGACATAAGCATATTTTTTGGAGGATTTCTGTGCAAAAATTTTTTTATTTGCTCAAACCTTCAATTTTCTGTGCCCAATCAAAATATGGAAAATCGGCTGCCATCTAGCCCCACGACCAAGTTTAAAGAGGAATGCTCTAGCGGGTAATGTGATGTCAAATCGAGAATACGAAAGTCTGCATTTCACACATTTTCACTTGTTTGGGAAGGTTGTAGTCAATATTGTCCGAAAATATGCCGACTAAGTGTGTTGTAGGAGGATGTAGCAACGTGTGAAATTTGCAAGAGGATATCGCACTTCATACATTCCTCTTACAACACACCTAGTCAGCATATTTCAGACATTATCGACGACAACCTTCCCAAACAAGTGAAAATGTGTGAAATGCAGACTTTTGTGTTCTCGATTTGACGTCACATTACCTGCTAGAGCTATTCCTCTTTAAAAAACTCGGTTGTGGGGCAAGATGGTGGCCAATTTTCCGTATTTTGACTGGGCACAGAAAATTAAAGATTTAAGCAAATTAAAAAATTTTTGCACAGAAATACTCCAAAAAATAAGCTCATTTCGTTAAGCGAAAAAAAATTTGGGGGTTTAGGTGCACTTTAAGGTTGGATGGAGATGCTGTGGCTTAATGGTTACTCACAGGAGTGGATTAATGTGTACTTAGCTGAGACACTTCTCACAGTGCCCCCCCCCCCTTGCCATCAATGGGTACGCATAGGTACAGCAAACTGTCATTCATCTGGGAAAACGCGATAAAATGTCAAGGGGGAACAACCTGCAATGGACAAGCATCCCATCTAGGAGTGGCCATACACTACCTCACACTACAGAAACCAGAATAAGCTCTGGCTCCTTGTGGGTCATCAGGGTTGAGAGCAGTTTTTATGCTTTTAACATTCCTCCTCCCTCAAAATTGATACAAGATGTTTGAGAAAGCATTTGGAGTAAAGAATCTGGGTATATTATGTTCTATTTGCATCTTTTTCAGCTCCAACAGCACTTCATGCACATGGAATTGGAAAAGGGAAGACTGTTACATCACATCCATCTGTGAAAGATAAATTGGATGGTGAATAATTGATTTATTTTTGCTAATTAGTAATACCATGCAATGAATATCTGGATACATATGTGTAAAAGTGCAGCTGTTCTGTTTTAATTTAAGACAAGGAAAAACTTGAAATACAACTTCTACAAAGGGAATTAGAAGTAGTCTTGTTATCAAGAATGACAAATTCACTTGTAATTTTTACATTTTTAAAAATGATTAACGAAGCCGTAATTTTATTTCAGGTTATAACTACTCTGAAGACCGAGTGGTCATAGATGGAAACTTGGTAACTAGTAGAGGACCAGGAACAGCCTTTGAGTTTGGCATTGAACTTGTGCGTGCAGTGCGAGGTGATGATGGTGAAGCTGACAAACTGGCAGGTCCCATGCTGATTAAGTAAAGCAACCACTCAGTTCCCGAGAAGAAATAATTAGTTTTAGCTTAAAGGCTAGATCTCAGTTGTGAATTAATTATTTGTAATTTATCAAGTCATCAAGTATTCTCGCTTTACTATAACTCGTGTTAATAACACGACGATAGTACAGAGGTTTGAATAAGAGCTGGTTGCTGGCCCCCTACCACCGCCTGTAAGACCCATTACCACCGTCTGCTGAGCCTGCAAGCAGTGTTCTGATTTTTATCCCAAGATAACTAACACATCTAACCGTTGATTGATAGTTATTGAATCAGTTAGTGATGAACCTTGGAATGAGTAATAAAAACATTTAACCCAGGTTTGGTTTTGCAACCATTTTGTTCAGAGATTATTGCTGTTAATTTTTTTCTTGTGAAGGCAAAGACCACTCCTTTCATTGTTTTATGAAAGATCATCAAAATAGTTATGAATTTAGAAAGGTATTCAAAGTGCACCTCTATCCATCTTAAATATGAATTGTTTGTTGGAAAAACATATTCTGTGGTCAATAAAAATTATTTTAAACAACAATCTTTTTGATGCCTTGAATGATAGAAATTACATTCAGACCTTCGTAGATTTCAAGCTTTTTTGCTGACCATTAGGCAGGGTTCCACTATAGAAGAAATTTCTTACAGTATCAAAATCTCACGCTTTGTCAGAATATATAGTCAAACTTTTAGCAGCCCAAGAAATGCGGTTGGGATTCTCCTCATTCTTATATTATTATTAAATCTAAAAAATTTGGGAAAAAACCGTGACAAGCTTAATTGTCTCTAAATACATCAGAAAATGATGTCATATTTACCTTACAATGAAATTCCCCTTTTGGAATGCTCATCTGAAATGTACATGATCATATCAAGAGACAGCAAACAGGTCTCCTGTACGAATTGATTGTCAAAAAAATTGGTCGAAATCTTGAGTTTTATCTCAAATCCCATTCAGAGAAAGAGCAAACTGTCTGGAAAACTCTAAACTCTAAGATGTTTGCGAAGAATCCAACAAATTCTAAGATGTTTGCAAAAATTTCCAACAGACGAGAATCTACAATTGAAAAAGAAATGGAGGAATGTTGCTAGGAAGCTTAGGAGATCATTAAAGTAGTATTGGAAATCTAAGGCAGAAGAGATGAATCACAATCCAAGGGAGTTTTATAAAGTTTTCAAGCCTTTCCTGGACTCTAAAACTCAAGAGGTTGATGGCAGTGCGATAATTCTGGCAAATTGTGGCAGTGACATAAAGGATGATTGCTTTGCTGAATACTTTACAGTCAGCACAGGGTTGGGTGACTCTGGGTTGCTGACATTAACTGAGGAACAATTACGTGACTTCAAGAGTGTTCAAGACATACGCGACAGTATGACAATTGTGAATGGACCCAAATTTAGCTTCAGTAAAGTCAGTCAAACCGAAGTGCAGTCAGCCCTTGCAAACTTGAACGTGAACAAGAGCTACGGTCATGATGGGCTGTCTAATAAAGTTCTCAAACTAGTTGGTGGTGCCTTGGTGCCATCCTTAACTAAGATCTTTAATACTTGCAT